GGGGGTCCAAGGTAGTTTTTCTCACAGCTGTGCAATGTAATGTCCAATTGCAGAGTTTTAAAAGAGGTATGAAAAGTGAAGCATTCATTAGAAGATCAGTCTCCCAGAGTAAGGCCACATCCGAATTACTTAGCTATGGCGTGAAATTACACACGACTCTAAGGAAACTGTCCGTGACCACTACCATAGACCCGCGTGTATGTTCAGGCTACAGCCAAGTATTAAACTCAGACAGGGTCTAGGGTTAATACCGGGTGCGTATATGGCCGACTTCTATGACAATCTAGGCCAGCTGTTAAAATTTTAAAATGCCATTTAAATCCATCAGGTGTGGAAAAAGGGAAAGAGGAGAGTTCGCCCACCCCTTAAGAAAATAGAGCCCTCCCCCTCCTCCCACTGGTTCCTACACCACACCTACATCAGTCTTATCCCCTGACCCACCCTATCTCACTGTGAAGTGTTCCACTGAAGGGTACAGTCCACTAATTCAAACCCCATTGAAAACAGTGTAAAATCAGCACTGTTCAGGGCCCAATAACATGCACGCCAACGTCCCTGAGATTTCTGAAACACAAATGAAATTCTTGTCTGGTCACTNCCTTGCAAGGATTTACACAATCTCACCATTTTGGGGGCCAAACAATCTCCTTTTTCAAAAGATACCACCGTGGGGGCACTTTTAATGCTAATGAGCTGGCCAGAAACTCTCACTTGAATTAGTGGTCTGCACCCTGAAACACCAGCCAAAACTCACACCCCTCCCCCATCCCAGTCCTACTCCTTTCCAAGTGGGTGACATCAGTCTGCTGCTCCCCAGAAAAAGTAACACAAATATCCCTCCTAATCCATGAATCATCAGCTCGGCACACAAAACAGCCCCAGTTGCAAAAATGTTTGGGACAACCTAAGACCTCCAAAAACAATTCCTTTCCCCATCAAGGGCACACATGCGCCCTGTCTGCGGGTTTTTCCTCTTCCAAGCCAGCCGACAAAGGCTTTTTCTTTTTTGGTCATGGTGGTGGAATGTCGCGGGACCAGATAGGGCCTTCTCTTGACATTCCTCTCTTGTCACTAACTCATTACCGTGGCGATGAAGGATTGGCCACTAGGGGTTGATCCTACTGTTGAACCCTGTGCCAGCTGCCGCAAAGGGGCCCTATGAAAATACACTGTGCATGTAACTTAACCATGTGTTGTAAGGGGGGGGGGGAGGAGCCATGTACATGTGTACAGTGAGGGGGTTGTAAAAAAGTTTGCTGGCTGGTTGAGGATATTTAGGACCACAACACATTTGTCTTGGATTGGAGAAAGAGCAACTCCAAAGGTGGTGAAAAAAATGGGCAATACAGTTTAATATACTCACGTGGTATCTAAGTAATAAGGTAGGCCCTATATGTAAAGTGGCACTGTGACCTCTGAATAAATAGTAACAGTGCGATAAAAATATGGACCAATTCTGCAGGTTTTTCAAAAACTGTCCATGTTTGTACCATTGGTGGCACCATGCAGAAGTGCTTTTTTAATTGCACACCACCGTGGAAACAAAAAACGTCATGACCTCGCAGGACCCCCTGGTTCCATGGGTATTTTTTCGTACAAAGGCCTGCACACCTGAGCTACACGGCCTAGCCTGACACTTTTTTTCGGAATAAAATAACAACATCAAGACATTCCAAACATCTGTCCTTCACTCTGAACTTCGCAAGTTGTATTTATCAACCGATCTTGGTCTCCTTCATCGCCTTGTTCACCAGCGCTGGCCCCCATTGTAAGCCTGATCAGGATCCCATTGGCACTCCGGTGGCACGATGGGTTCGAAGCGGTTAGGCTTTGCACCTCCACTTCGTACTCTTTGTGTCCTTGGGTTCTCCTTGCTCTGGTGAGCCGATGTTATCCGAAGTAGAACCGCTGTCTGACGAGTTCATCACTTCTTCATAAATACTATGCTCCTCCCGCCAGTTGACAGTTTCGGGTCATTTGCTTTCAGCCATTTTTTTTGGGGGGAGAATATCTCAGGCCTTCTGGCTACCATAGGGCAAGCTTTGGACAGTGTAACTGTAACCACACACGTTTCTACAAGATACTACATGTAATTATGTGCATTGCAGAGCCGTTTCCACAGTGCTACGTGGACTAAAGCCTGGAAAAGCCGTATTCAGGAGATGTAAATGAAGCGATGACAACACACTCCTTTCAAGAAAGCTAGCCATGGTGCTCGGCAGAAGTGGGTCTCAAAAGTGATTCTTTTAAACCAAAAATATTGCTGAATTCGGGTTTGTGTGGCATAGATGTCTAAAATGGGATCCAAGTAAACATACTATGGCCAGATTTCTTATTTTCTTCCACCGTTGGGGCTGCTCTTTAAAAATACGTCCTAGGTCTGTGGTCCAATTTCCGAAAGGCCCCCAAACTGGATCAAAATATGAAAAAGATATTCCTAGTGTGTACATGCACATGTGAACGAGAATGCATGGCCATTGCAAAAACCAATTTAAAATAAGTTGGTTATGAAAGAATGTTAAATACATCACCTTACATCTAGAATTTGATTGCATACGTTGAAAGGTTGTGCAGTATACACTGTGTGCCCAATGACGCAATGTACACAAACGTTCATCCCTTTTCGAACATTCTGGACTTTATTCAAGTCGATGAGGTGAGTGAGTGTCAAGGAAAAATCCCTGAGGCGTACGTGCATGCATTTTTATGGAAGTTACATGTAATTAGACAGAGAATGTATCAGCTCTCCCCCGTGAGAGAGACAGGGGAAGCATCTCGATACACTAGAGCCCCTCTCGCAAGAGAAACCAAAGATGTGGCTCCGTCGAGCACATTATAAAGTTTCTGCTTTGGGGTCGAATTTGCCCATGTTGAGGGACTCACGGGA